GGCAGCCCACGGGAAGGTGCGAGGAGTCCCAGGGACAGAGGGCTTTGGGTGGGGGGTGGTTCGGTGTCTGCTGAAGGGGGCTGGGCAAAGCCAGCTGGGATCCGGAATTTGCCCACCCAGGAGGCGCGAGCAGAACTGCTGGTTTATGGCTCATCTGAGCGATGGACCGGCCAGCAGCACAGCGCCCCCTAGTGCCACGCTGGGGCCAGCACTGCCTGCAAGCAGGGAGCCCCCTACTGAGCCCCCCACTCCACTTTCTGCAACACACCTCCGCCTGGGGCACTAGGCTCAGCACTGGCTCAGACGGGAGAGCCCCCATTCCTGAGCTTCCCACCCCACACCCTGCAGCACAGCACCCCCCAGCACTGCCCCGGGGCACTGGCATCAGAACTGGCTTGGGGGGGACAGCCCCCACCGCTGAGCCTCTCATTCCACTTCCTGCAGCGCAGCTCCCCCTGGGGCACTTGGCCCAGCGTCCCCTGCTGAGCCCCCCACCCTGTGGTATGGCCAAACCTCCCCTCCCCTGTCACCACAGAAGTCCCGCAGGTCCTGTGTGAGCAGGAGGGTGCAGGACCGGGAGTAGGGGGTGGGTGGGCTGGGACTCACTTCATGCCCTGCTGGAAGACGGAGTTCCTCCGGGTCTTGCAGATGATGAGGTCGGCCCACTGCACCACCACGATGCTGGCGAAGAAGGCCGTGTGGCATGTGAACTCCACCACCTTGCGCTGCTCGTAGGTCTGTGGGACAGGGATGGGACACTGGGCACGAGGGAAGGCAGCTGGCTCCGGGCCCCTCAGTCAGTTCCCTGTCCCCCAGCTGCAAGGGGGGCTGATGGGAGCACTGCGAATGCTGACGCGGGAGAAGTGGGGCCCCGCCTGCCCCCCGCCCCCGGCTCCGCACTCACCCACTCCTGCCCGTAGCTGTCCTCCAGGTCGTTTTTGGAGCGGTCGTCCCAGTCCAGACGGATGCCCAGCAGGGTGGACGGCAGGAACCCGTTCTCCGCCAAGATCACAAAGTAGGTGAAAAACCCGCCCAGGGCCTGGATCATACCTGGGGGGGATGGCAGGGTAGGGGGGAAGGGCCACAGAGAGAGAGAGGAGCAGAGACCCATAAATGCTCCTTCCTTCCTGGTTGTCCAGTACCAGCCCAAACTGCAAAGGAGCCATGGCTCTCCACGGACCCGCCCAGCACCCCGGCCACGCGGCACGGCCCATTGGCGCTGCATGCCGGCTCCCTCCCAAGCGGGGCGTGGCTCAGCTGACGGGCCAGAGCCCTGCGCAGGCTGGGTCGGCTGCAAGGACAAGGCCCTCGCCCCCAGGAGCCTCCTGTGCTGCAGACCGTTACCCCAGTAGAGCTGTGTGTCTCACCTGGATGGTGCCACCTCCAGCAGCACAGCGCCCCCTGCTGCCACGCTGGGGTACTGGTCAGTGCTA